CTCACCTCACTGTTCAAAGCTATAATTTTGAAAAAGTAGAGGACCTAGTCGCCAAACATGAAGTAATTTGAAAAATAAACTTTATATGCAAATGCAGAATAATGCATAAATTAAATTTATAAAATAGACCCACTTTTAAATATTACTGAAAGTACCTTAGGGAAAGAAATATTATTTTGCATGCCCACTAAATTTCGCTTCCCTTAATTACAATAATAGGTTTTCTGTTAGCTTTAGTGGTTATTCAAATATAGCAACTTTTGCTGCTACTTCATCAAAATAAATTGTGACTTCAGGCAAACAGCATGCACCATCGAACTCCCACGCATGCATACGCATACAATTCCATTCAGTATGTATTAATGTGCATTAGGGTTGTTCAAAAAAAAAGTCTAAAATGTTATGCTCTCACATCCTAGGATTTTTCTATAGGGAATAAAAAAATACCCTTTTTTTTTGGTAAAATAAAAATTATATTTAGAACTGCCCCAAAACCCATGAAGCTTTCCTTGCACTTGATATAGGAAAAAACAATTTTTCCTCGAAATACAGTATTTTTCGATCGGAAAACTCCGTATTTTTGGGTGCATCACTCTTTAACCAAAAATTAAAAAAAATTTAATCGGTACTGTTTTCCATCGAAATTATAAAAAATTAACTATATTTCGTCAAAATATTGCAAACGTGTAAACGCCAAAATGTTATATCAAATTAAGCGACATAATGTTCGATTTTCTGTTTTTGACAGAAATCAATTAATAATTGCCGTGTTAATAAAAAAACCCCCTACTGAAAGTTTTAATTTTTATCGCTTAAGCCCTTTTGGCGGTTAGGGCTCGATATTATTATTGTGCCAGTAAAGGTCAGCTGAGTATTCAGAATAAGCCCAGGGCTACATAATAAGCGGAAAGCTACTTGATGCTGTTGCTTGATAATCAAGGTTTCGACGGCCCACATACGGTGCGCGCGACAATCTGCTGTGGCCTTTATTGTCGCATATCTGCATATTACTGCTTACGTATGTATGTACGTATGTTGAGGACGATATGCTTAGGTTGCTGAGAAGCACGTACAAGGCTACTTGAATATACATATATGTATGTATATTAGACTGCATCACCAAAAAAAAGTTGCGGGTTTTCCGCCGGGATTAAAAAATTCACTCTATTTTAAGACATCCACCAAAATATTTCGGAAAAATATTAAGATTTAAGCGACATGAACCGATTTGAAAATACCCCAAAAATGAAGTGTTTTTTATTAATAAAAATAGTTCCTTAAAGAAGTTTTTGAAAAAAGTCCTCTCAGATGACCTAGCCTAATCGGTTTTGTCATCTCAGGGGACTTTTTTCAAAAACTTCTTTAAGAAACTATTTTTATTTATAAAAAAAAACTCAATTTTTGTAGATACTTTTAAATCGATCCAGCTCGCTTAAATCTTAGTATTTTTCGGAAATATTTTGGTGGACGTCTTAAAATATAATAGATTTTATAATTCCTATAGAAAAACAGTACCGTTTTTTTTGTATATGTAGTGATGCAGTCTAATGTACATATATGCATGTAAAAAATTACTAAAATATGTACCTGCTGTGCTCTTGTTAAATTTAAAATGCTATAAAATACCAAATTTCGGTGTTTTCTTCATTGACATTCATTGACTCTTGTATATATGTATGTATGTATGTACGCAAATATGGTTTTATGCATATTGGATGCGTAAAGTGTCAACAAGTGGTCAATGGATATTTTGCAAAACCGAAAAGACTTTTAGTAGCATTTTCCGTTCGAATAGAGAGCAAAAAATCGCAAGTCACAAATACACATACATATGTACATACACAAGTTAGTCACATTTTGCGTATGCTTGTTTTCTACTTGGAAAAGGTACGAGCCCCGAGTTGTGTGCAAAAAAAAACAATTTTCAATGAAATATTTTCCTAGAGTTTGACATATTTTCCCCCAATTTTATTAGGTGCTAT